TCAGTTTGTATGTGTATAAATTAGAGAAAGAAATAAAGACAGCAGTAGAGTGAAATCGTGCATATATACATAGAGAGGGGAGGAGGAGGAAGAGAAGAGAGACACCCTGGTTTATCTTTATAAAGACACCAATCCCAGTATGGGGTTCTCATCCTCATGACCTCATCTAAATGTAAATACCTCTAAAAAGCCTCTGGTTTACTTACAAATAAGAAATTTTCATTTCCTCCCAAAAAGCCATCACATGGAGAAGCAGTTATTCAACACAGGAATTTACACATCCTGTCCATTAACAGTCCCCAGACTGCTTTTCCACACAAAACACGGGCTGGAGTTGGTCATCCTGCGGCCCTCCAATCACTGTACTGACACGCATCACTAGAATGTTGGCTATATCCATAGGTACATATCATTGCTTAACCTCGAAGACTAGTTTAGTGCTGGAATAGAACATCATTCAGTAAATATTTGCAGAGCAGTAAGAGGGAAAGGAGGAGGAAGGGGAGGAGAGGGGGAGGGGAGGAGGAGCAGCATCGGTGGCCAAACCTCTGCTGACCAACCGACTTCATGAATCGCTGCATCCCCCACCCCATGCCCCCAAAGAAAGATGAAGAGGATCCTCCCCAGCCACGGTGAAGGAAGATCTGCAAAGCTGTCTGCTAACCTGCTCCTCCAAGCTTTAAAAAGACCTTCAAAGGCCAGGCGGTAGTGGTGGTGCCTTTAATTCCAGCACTTGGGAGGCAGAGGCAGGCAGATCTTATTGAGTTCGAGGCCAGCCTGGTCTACAGTGTGAGAGCCAGGACAGGCACCAAAACTACACAGAGAAACCCTGTCTCAAAAAAAAAAAAAAAAAAAAAAAAAAGACCTTCAAATGAGGGAGAGAAGGGACCCCAAGGGAAGAGCTGATGCCAGCAAGGATGGGATGATGCCGCAGAAAGCAGAGATGCCCGAACAGAGCAGGCAGAGGAAGCCGGAGGTGCTGGAGATGCCAAGGGAAATGTGTACGTCTTTGATGACTGTACAGTTTGAAACACTGTCTTTACCAAGGTTCATGAAGCACTGGCCTTTGCTTGACTGCTTTTAAGCCGTGTAGTTAGCACACAGACTACTTCACTGTTTTACAGGGAAAGAACTTGAATCGCCACCAAACCGAGCTGGACTAACATGGAGGAAACACCTTTCCCTGAGCTGTGAGAGATTCCTCTTGGCTCCCAGGAGCGATTACCTGATATTGACACATGTTGCCACCTTAGCACAAAACACCTTGTGATAAGGGAAAACTCGAAATTCATTTTTACATCCTCTGCCCCCTCAAGCACCAACATATACTTAACTCCCTTAAAACCAGAGACCTGGCGGGGAGGTGGTGGCGGCGCACGCCTTAAATCCCAGCACTCGGGAGGCAGAGGCAGGTGGATCTCTGTGAGTTCCAGGCCAGCCTGGTCTACAAAGTGAGTTCCAGGAAAGGTGCAAAGCTACACTGAGAAACCCTGTCTCAAAAAAACAAAAAATCAAAACAACAACAACAACAGAGACCCGTTGGGACCTGACCCCCCACCACTGGTGATGCTAGTATGTGGGGCAACCTGGCTTTGCGTTGACATCACTGAGATGGCTTTCCTTAAAAGAGCAGTGATTCCTTTTCTAAAAGACTGTGGATCTTCAGAATGAGAATTCCGCCATTTTCATTTCATTTCCTGACAGTTGGAGTCAGCTATGAAGAGATGTTCAAAGACATGCTTACATCAGTCCTCACTCCAAACCTTCCCTGTCCACAGCATCAGTGGAGACCTGATTAGATTTTACGTTAGCTTTCTGATCTTGGTAGTCTACACAGGAAGGAGTTTAGAAGCTCTTGTATACTATGAATGACTGCTGGCCTATATCCTTCCTGAAATACCATGATTGTTTATTAAAAGTTTCCTTAATAAAGTTAAATACAGTTCGGCTTAGAAAAAAAATGAGATACTTGCTAAAGAAAAAAGTAGGAAATGTACTTCAAGGTATGGGCAAAGGTAAGGACTTTCTGAATAGGACCCTACTTGCTTAGGAAACAAATTAAACAAGTAACAAATAGGACCTCATGACCTTAAAATTTTTCTGTACAATAAGGGAAGTAGTCAGTTAAGTGAAAAGATAGCCTAAAAAATAGGTGAAACGTATTTTCCAGATATAAACTCAACAGAGGTTAAGTATCTAGACCATTCAATGAACTCGAGAAACTAAATCAAGAAAACAAATAACCCAATCAAAAAGGGGCTATGAACCTAACACAGAGTTCTCAAAAGAAGAGGACAAGGAAGAGGAGGAGGGAGAGGAAGAAGAGAGAGACAGACAGACAGACAGATGACTAGTAACCCTTTAAGAAGGTGTGTAACATCATTATCATCAGGGGAATGCAAACTCCAGTTCCTTGGCGACCCCACCTCATTAAGAATCTGTGACAACAAAGGCTGGTGAGGATGTTGGGAAAGGAGGATGCTTGTGCGCTGTTGTTAGAAGTACACACTGTGTCATCAGTACAGAAATCAGTAAGGAGGATGCTCCAAAAGCTAAATATATAGCACAGCTACACAACTCCTGAGAACACACTCAAAGCACTCCAATCCTCCTACACAGACACTGGCATGGCCATATTCCTTATTGCTCTATTCATAATAGCTAGGAAATGGAGTCAGCCTAGATGTGCATCCACTAATGAATGCATAATGAAAATATGGTGTATACACACAATGCAGTTGTAGTTACCTAGCTCTAAAGAAAGGTGAAATTTGAAGGGAAATAGATTGAACTGGAAAATATTACACTAAGTGAGGTAACACATGCCCAGAAAGAAAAACACTGCATGTTCTCTCATATTAGAGCCTGTGTTGGAATTTAAATTTCCTTTTGATATTTAACTTGGAGTGCCTGTAGGAGTCAGGAAGCTATAAAGGGTCTATGGAAGAGGGACTTATTGGGAGAAGGGCAGCAGAACACACGTGACATGAAGGAAGGGGTTATGCTGGGGCTAAAAGTTTAAACAAGAATGGGCTAGTGTAGGATACTTTTAAAGAAAGCATTGGAGGAACCAGGCTAGTCAAACACACAAGTGGGAGAAACAGTGGATTAACCAAAACTAAGCATGATGGAAGCATGCTTAAGAAGCATGATGGAAACCCACTACTTTGTAAACTAAATTTATAATGACATTTATAAAAAGGAGCTTGGGGGTTTGTAGAGATAGCTCAGCTCTTTAGAACCCTAGCTGTTATTCCAGAACACTCAAGTTCAATTTCTAGTACACACATGGTAGCTCACAAGCCATCAGTAACTGCAGTACCTCCACGGGCACAGCATGTCTGTGACACAGATATACATGCAGACAAAATGCATACACATTGAATAAATAAAGTTGAAAATGAATAGATAAATAAATAGATAAAGATTTTAAAGAGGAGTTTGAATGAGGTGCCCTGCATGGGTGGACAAGACATAGAAGACATAGGCTACTAAATGAAAATCTCAGTGCCAGGCATGGGATACCTCCCTATGAGTTATTCATCAGAGTGCCCACCAAAAGCCTCCAAACGACACAGGCTATGATTGCTCTTAGGTGCCCACTTTAACTGCATGTAAGACCCTATTCTGAAGGCACTGCACACTGGGTTTTAGGATATAGAAAAATCAAGTTGGACCTGACTTGAAAATGTCCTCTTTGTTGGCTAGATTTTAGAGTGGCAAAGGTGTTTTAGAGTATCTATTGCTGTGATCAAACACCATGACCAAAGCAACTAGGGGAGGAAAGGGCTTATTCATCTTATGCTTCCATAGCCTAAGTTTTTCATCAAAGGACAGGAACTCAAGCAGGGCAGGAACCCGGAGGCTGCTGCTTACTGGCTTGCTCACCATGGCCTGTTCAGCGTGCTTTCTTATAGAACCCAGGGACACTAGCACAGGGGTGGCACCACCAATGATGGGCTGGGGCGTCCCCATCAATCACTAATTAAGAAATGCCTTACAGCCCAATCTTATGGTAGCATTTTCTCAATTGAGGCTACCTCCTTTCAGATAACTCTAGCTTGTGTCAAGTTGACATAAAAACAAACGAACAAAAAAACAAGCCAGGTGGTAGTGGTATACTCCTTTAGTCCCAGCACTCGGAAGGCAGAGCCAGGCCAATCTCTGTGAGTTCAAGGCCAACCTGGTCTACAGAGCAAGTTCAAAGACAGCCAGGGCTACACAGAGAGATCCTATCTCAAAAACAAAACAACACAAAAAAACAAAATCTAGCCAGTACAACTGACCCCTTGACATACACATCACTGTTAGGCCACAATCTTTCCTTTCTTGTTCATCCCCAAGTTGACACATTAATATCAATATCACAATATATAACATTTTACAAACTTAAAAAGATCCAGTCTTTACAAATTCAAAGTCTCTTTTAGAACTTAAAATCTCTTTTAAAATTCAGTCTCTCAACTATGAGCTCCTGTAAAATCAAAAACAAATTAAAAACATCCTTATTTCAAGAGGGAAGAACCAGGGTGCAGTCACAATCTGAGCAAATCCAAACTCCAGGGGTAAATAACTCAATGTCCCATATCTGGGATTCACTCATGATCTTCAGGGCTCCTCCAAAGGGCTTGGGTCACTTCTCTGGCTCTGCCCTCTGTAGCACACACAGCTTGTCTCCCAGGCTCCGGCTGGCTTCACTCCACTGCTACTTTTGATCTTAGTGGTCATCCCCCGGTACCGGCATCTCCCAAACGCTGGGGTCTCTCCTGCACCTGAGCTGCACTTTCACGCATAGCCTCTCCTAGGCTCTCTTCATGGTGCCAAGCCTCAACTTCTCTGCATGAGTCCTCAGTCCTAGGCTTCCAACTGCCAATGAGGCTGCCCCTTCACCCCTGGCCTTTCCTGGCCTCTCACAATACCAAGTGTCAGCTGCTCTCCATGACCCCTTCATGCCTTCAAAACCTGTACTACTTGGGTGACTCTTACACATTACCAAGTCAGGCTGTCAGCACAAGGTACAACCCTGGCCATCTCCAGAACACAGCCTCTGTGTGCTGACTCTGAGGAAACACTTCCCAGAAGACTTCACCTCAATGACGCTGGTTCTTCTTAATCCCCAAGAATTTCTTAGCTCCAGCTGTCCAACATTAATTATCCCAGTAACTCAAAGGTTTCACTTCAATGGTGCTGGTCTCTTTATTAATCATGGCTGACTCTTCAGCCCCAGATAACAGAACAACAGAATTTTAATTCAAAACAGCAAATGACTCTGATAGAGTCTTTGGACTTGCCTCCTGAAACTTCCCAAGCCAGGCCTCCATCCTCTGCACTGCTCGTAACATTCTTGTCTTCCAAGCTCCTACAGAACATTGCACTGAGCTCTCTCAACACTCAATGGCGTTTCCAGCCCAAAGTTCCAAAGTCCTTCCACAATCCTCCCTAAAACATGGTCAGGTCTGTCACAGCAATACCCAACCACATTGGTACCAACTTGCCTTAGTTAGGGTCAGTTTTGTTGTATTGAAACTCCCATGTTTCATTATGCTCTTGCCTGCCCAATGGTAGATTCCAACCTACTGCAGATTAGCATGGAAGCAAGGCCCACAGGACGGAGCGACTACACAGGTCACCCATCTCTCTTCCCCATCTGTAACTGGGGAGCGACTACACAAGTCACTCATCTCTCTTCCCTATCTGTAACTGGGGAGATGGCATTCTCTCACCCTCCTCACGGTTTTCCTGTGATAAGAAAATGGATAATGGATATTTTAAAATGTATGAGCACACAGTAAATGCTTATCTTTGGGTAAGACTGAATATCTTTAAAATATTATAAAGGCTGGGAGTATAGTACAGTTATAAAACAACTATCTAGCTAAATGCGAGACTACAGGCTTGATTTCCAACATCACAAAAACATTGTAAAACAACAGTAATTGCTGATGAAGTTCAGCTCAGGCGGGGGATAGTCAGCCAGGGCCAGACATCCATGGGCCCATCCTTGTCCACCCTTGTGGCACCAGGCAGGTAGGTCCCATTATGGTGAGCAAATATGTGGTGGAGAAATGGAAGAGAAAGGGAAGTGGAATGGTTCATGTGCTGTGGAAAGAGGCAGAAAGGAATAAGAGAAGGCAGTGAGGAGCAGGTTGATGTGGGAGGTCTGCTTGCCACCTGGGGCCATGGTGATATCTGGGCCAGGCGGATGCCAAGGGCCATGTATGGGTCCTTGGTCCTACCACAGCCGGGGTCCCTGTGGATTCTATGACCCATGTTGCCACCAAAGGCCACAAGGATGCCCAGTGCCTAGGCTACCACTTGTGACCATATAGATGACCAGGGGCCACCACCAGAGCCAAACTGATCTGGTTGGCCTATGCTGCCACCTGGGGCAGTAGTATTGTCCAGACCTGAGCTGCTGCCAGAAACCATGTCTGGGTCCGTGGCCCTAAGAAGGCTGGGTCTGTGCTAATGTCTGTGGCCCATTTTGCCACCAAAGACCACATGGACACCTGAGGTCTGTGCCGCAATCTGCAGCCTTGTTGGGGTCCGAGAGACGTGCTACCACCAGAACCATGCTGGTCTGAATAACCTCTGCTGCCACCCAGGGCCCTGATGGCATGGGTGTGGGGGTGCTGGCTCCACCCCCTTGCCCGAGGTGGGTGGCTCCAGTGGCCAGGAATGACCAGTTCAGCTACCACTCAGGCCTACAGCAGGGCCTTGGGTTGGCCCATCCTAACATCTACACTAACTAGGACCTGCTGGAGCTCATGAAGTGACTGGGCTTCTGGAGCAATATCAAAAGACTCTAGGCAGCTGAGGGATATCCCAGAGGAGTTCCAGTCCAGTGATGATGGTGCACCAGAAACCAGAGGCCTTGAACCAGACCAGTGACTCACTGCAATGAACATTGCTAGTAAAGCTGATTGAACAAACAGGTATATATTCTATATGACACACTGCTCCCAATGTCACCAGGACAAATGAAGAGGTGATGGAGAGGCGGAAAGGAGAAATGAAGAGGTAGCTATGTTTTGCTTGGTTTTGGTTTTCGTTTGTTCTGTTCTTGTTTGCTTGTTTTGTTTTGATTTTTACTTAAATTTTCTTTTGGGGGGCACTGCAGTGGTGAGGGGAGGATATGGGGGACCAGGAAGTGAGCAGAAATAGGGTGCATGATATGAATTTCTCAAAGAATCAGTAAAGAAATTATGTTTAAAAAAAACAGTAATCTATGAGCATTTTTAAGGGTGATGTACGGAGAACCTTTGATTATTCAGTTTACTAGCATAAAACAAACTAAGGCTATGATTCTACACCCAGGAAATGAGAAAAATATACATGTTGAAAATGGTCTCTCCATTGAAAGAAACCATGAGCATAAATAATATCTCACTTGTCCCAGTGCTGAACTGGGAGGTGACTGGATTTCCTGAGAAGTAAAGATAAGTTTAAGGTCAAATAAGTTCAGCCAGATAGGTTTTTAGGAAAAATAGACATGACCAAAAAAAGTCAGTCTAGGAATGACAATGTAAGAAATGAGCCAAAGTCAGTCTGCAAAGGAAACTGAGAGAAACGATGACGTTAAGATGCATGTGGTGGGCTGGGATTAGCACTACTTCCAAAGAGAACTCACAGGATTTCACTAAGTGCTTAACCAGCTTTAAAATTCCAGACAGTCAAGGCTGCAGCATGCTGATCTGTTACAAAGAAACAGCCCTACAGGGTATGTGCACATCCTGGTAGCAAAACCGAAAGACAAACATAATCTAAGAAGTCCTTGAGGCATTGTGTCGCTACATCCATCATTTAAATCTACCCAGCTTGGTAACTTGGGATTGAAGATTAATCAAAATGGTCCATAGGTCATTGGTCAGGTTTATTTAGCCATCAAGAAAAGCTAGCCTAATTAGCCTAGTGGATTATGAAAGATGTCTTTTCTGGAAAGCCTCACCTTACCCACAAAGGGAATTTTAGGGACTGAATGAAACCAGGAGCACTTTTGTGCTTGTTCAACGTGGTTCCTCAGCTCTCTGCCCAGGGGAAAAAGAAAAGCGCATACAAGACAGGACATTCCTGATGACTGAGGGGAGAACCTGAGCACCCTTTAATTCCACCGAGATTGTCTTAAATAAATCTTATTGCTCTTAAAAGAAAGGAATGAACACACTGCGTAAGATTCAATTCTAATCGTATCAAGTGGTACACAGGGAAAATCAACAGCACCGCTCTTCCTCCCCAAGCCAGGTTCCACGTTGAAGAGGAAACTGCTGTCTGGTGGACACCAGCTTTGGCTGCTGGGCAGCTCAGCGTCAAGTCATTCAATAGCACGCCATACCCTTCCTTGGCAAACAGCTTTGTTCAGCTTCATCCACTGCTTTCGATCTGAGATAGACCAGAATCAGCCCCCTTGCCCCTGACACACACACACAACACATTTATGTCACGGTTTTCAGTTCACTGTTGTAGTTTAAACAATGACAGCCACACCATTGTTTCTTCTTTCATCAACTACTGAGCATGCCTCTTGTCTCACAGGAAACAGTCTTGAAGAGGAGGGAGTACTTCCCTTTCTCTTCCTCCATCCTCCTCAGTTCTACCACCACTAGGTCTGCTTATGTCTTTGGAATTTTTTCCTTTCTGTTCAGTGTTTACTCCAATTATGTAAGTGAAGAATAAATTCACTATTATCAATCACAACCTCTTCAGACCTTATAATTACACATTACTGCTGGATTACTTTGGTGCCTCGCTTTTGGAGACCATTATTCATTCTGAAATCCATGTTAACTACTTATATTTTCTTTTCCCCATATATAGATGGGCATGGGTCAAATTTCTCAAATTACTAAATTTCACTCAATCAAGGAAGTAGTGGCAATAAGTGATTAAGATTCTGTTGCCTTCAGCACAAATTCAGTTTATGTTCAAAACCGGAGCCTTTCATGGTACAATTTCATAGTGGCAGTACTAGAAAATATAGGAAGTATCAAAAAGACTTAGGGTACCTCAGTCACATGAAGGAACAGATAATGAACTACGTGCAGATGACAGGAACCATCCACCATCTTAATCCTTCTGCACTGAGTATCAGCCTCCAAGACCAAAGGGTTATCTTCACCACTCCCTGGATGACCTCTGCACAAGTCACCCTGAATCCCATCTGCATCCACCCCAGAATACAACAAAAGTTCCCCTCACCTTCAGGGCCTCTCATCTGTGCATCCAGGCTTTGGGTGCAGAGAGCTGCTGAGGAAAAGTCCACGGATCTCATTGGAGCAGGTTGGACACTGATAGGATTACAGGTTGTTCCAAAATGTAAATACCCCAAGGGACTTTAAAAGTGAAAAGTTCAACATGCACTGTGTAGTGATTAAACAAGTAAGAAGCTTGGGCTCTTGAGCCAGAAGAGCTGGTCACAGCAGTCACTGTCACCCACAGTGGAATGACCTGAGCAGGTACCCAAACTTCTAATCTCAGCTTCTTCATTTCAAAAATGGAGTTGTTGCAAAGTAAAGACATATATAAAATACTTAGTGTGGTACATGGTACGTGTAAACCTTGATATATGAGGCAAAATATGATCAAAATGTACTGCATGTGTGTATGAAATTCTCAAAACTTAATAAAAAAATAACAAAAGTTTAGAGACCCGGTGGAATTATCATTAGTGTTAGTAAGTACAGTACTAGTCAGAAAGCCCAACTTTGATTTCACCGATTCTTTGACGTTAGCCCTAACCACATCTTTCATTTCTGCACACCTGTTAATGGCAAAGGAGTGGCTTTTCTTGCCATCAAAGCAAACAAACAGACCTGGTGGGCAAAGAGAACACGCTGACCCTTCTGGGGGTTGTACAGTCTAACACACTCAACTCCACACTCTCCTTGTGGGTTCTGACTTCATGTCTGTCAATCACAGCCCCTCATCATGTCCCTTCTGACAGTAGCCCCTAATTTAAAGGTGCATTTCAAATAACCTTATGTTGGGACCAAGCTAAAAATACTAAAAACAGATGTGCTATCCTCCAGGACGGTTGGAGAGATCCTAAGGAAAGTGGATTCAGTAACTCCTGGATTGAGACTAGAACCCACAAAACAGTAGCTAC